CGAATACACCAGTGAAATATTAGCTACTTAATCCATGACGAGATCATGCTTCTACCTCCCTCGGTCATTTTCGAGATTCTCCTGTCCCTCTTTTTCCCTTCAATCACTTTTCCCCATCATTGCGTTCTTCTCCTCTTCCTCCTCCTGCTCCTCCACCTCCTGCTCCTCCTTCTCCTCTTCCTCCTCCTGCTCCTCCACCTCCTGCTCCTCCTTCTCCTTCTCCTCCTCCTCCTTCTCACTTTCCACATGATAACCGATGCCTCACGAGCATCTCGTAGCAATAAAGAAGACCTCATAGATTTTTAATCGAGAACCAGTTGAGCACCATCGTATTAATATTATTATTAGTAATAGTAGTAGTAGTGGTAGTAGTAGTAATAGTAATAATAATAGTAGTAATAGTAGTAGTAGTAGTAGTATTAGTATTAGTAATAGTAGCTAAACTCAAGGTTAACTTTTTAATCGTCGACATCTCATCTCGTATCCTATTAACGGCCACATAATTCGATTCCTTTCTAAACGATCGACACACTCCAAATTTGATTTTCTCGAAATATATTATCTGTCTTCATCATTACTCCCTCTAATTCAATCCAAAGTCTCCCTTCTCTCCGTCAGTCATCACCCTTCCAACCAACCACTTTCCTCTCACAATCCTCCCTCCTTCCCTCTCTCCTTCCCGTCACCCTTATCTCCTTCCATCCTTTTAGTATGTGCGAGCAGGTAATCGTTGTTGTGCCGCAGCATCGACTGCCGAATTATACCTATCTCTGGCTCTATCGATCCTGTCGAGATGCGCGGTTGGAAAAGCCGTTTGTAGTCGACAACACTCCTCGTTCCATCCTTTTCATTTCTCTCTCACTCTCTTTGTACGTGTGTGTATGTGTGTCTATGTGTGTGTGTGTATGTCGATGACACACGCTTGATCCTAACTGTAACTATGCGTTCGTGCATTTAACGCAACCATTCCTCCCGACATACATACATTTTCTACGTGATTACAAAACTTATCGTTACTTAAATATTAAACTTATTTAGATATTAGAAAACTTCTATATGATTTCTATTTCTATTTCTATTTCTATTTCTATTACTACGCTTTCTTATAGTTTGTTGTATTTAACGTTTTAAACATCTCCACTTCATTCCACTCTTATCATAAACATTATACCCGACAAATATCCGATAATTTTATATATTCATGTATATATATGTGTGTGTGTGTGTGTGTGTGTGTGTGTGTGTGTGTGTGTGTACAGGGTATCCAAAAAGTATGAGACCGAACTTATCTTACGTATTACTGAATTCGAAAAAAAATGAAAAATAATTTATACAAACTTACTCAAGAAAATGTTTTATTGATAAGATATATGTCTTTAAATGATATTTATGATTTATTATAATAGTTATAAGAAATGTTCGATAATTCTTTCCACTGGAAAAATGAAGGCTTTCTTCGTCGAATTCGTCGAATTTAATGATTGCCAAATTCTTTTTAATATTCCAACTGTATTTTGGAAATATATATATATATATATATATATATATATATATATATATATATAATAGTAAATGCAATTTGAATACATTGCCAAAGTTCATCGTCCATTTCTATCGTACTTTTCTAAATCAATTTTATTGCTTGAGTCCATAAATAGAAGTCTAGAGGAAAAACAGAAAAAAAAGAAAAAAAAAGAAAGAAAGAAACAAAAAGAAAGAAAGAAACAAAAAGAAAAAAGAAGAAGAAAGAAAGAGTTCGGCAATCTTTAAAAAGCATATATCTTTTCAATCAAACACTTCTGAATTTATATAAATTTTTTTTATTCGTCTATTTGTTGTCAATAATATGTATTATAAGTTTGATCCAATACTTTTTGGACACCCTGTATATATTCATCTTTGAATCATAACTCAATTCATTCATTTTTAATTGATCGTCCTTATGTTTATTTACGAATTTTTCTTTTCCTTCTTTTTTTCCTTTTCTCTTTTTTTTTTTTTTTCTTTTTTTCTTCTTTCAAGTAGACAATTAAGTAGACAGCAGACGCATTACGATAAAACGTTTCTTTTCTTTTCTCCTTTTTTTTTTTGTTTTTATTAGTGTTTTTTTTTTTTTTTTTTTTTTTTTTGTTATTTTTTCATAAATCAAACGAATACAAAGCTACTAAACGGATTCGAAAATGACCACGACAAGGGATGGGGATGGAGTCCTCTCTGATGCTCTATAAAAGTGATTTACGATTGTCCGAATCGTTAATCCTCCCCTTCCCGCTCACTTTACCCTATCTCACCCTCTTCAACCTTCTTTCCCCTATTTTCTTCATTCACGCTCGCAGAAAAGGTGAGGAGGAGGGGGTGGAGGTGGGGGAGGGGGAGAGATAGAACATAATCAATTTTTAACAAAATCCTAACGAAACGTTCGACTTCTCATTATCCTCCCTATTATATTTACTTCAATAAGTAATCGTCTTATCGTATTATTGATAAACATAAATGAAAAATTTATAATAACATTCTAGATAATAAAAAAAAAAAAAAAATTATATTTAGCTTTGGCTTTTCTAGATAACGTCATGACAAATCCTTGAAAAAGTGGTATTTAATGTGGAAAGTGTGTAATACGATCACGTCGTCGAATGCTATATTTACTAAAGGGAAAAGAAGAAGTATAAAAAAGGAGGTGAAAAGTTAGGATATATAAAGGTGTTCACGAGGATGGGAAGAAGAAGAAGAAGAAGAAGAAGAAGAAGAAGAAGAAGAAGAAGAAGAGGAAGAGGAGGAGGAGGAAGAGGGTGAGTGAGAACAGGGGTTGAACGTGTTAGGTGTTACAGGGTCGTTATGTCTACTGCGTGCTAATGTCTCGAAAGGTCCTCGTAAGAGTCCAGATAAATCATTTGTAAATGGCTTGAAAACGAGTTGTAATTGTTCCACTCAGATGCTCACGAACCCATCTGGGAAGATGTCAGGGACAATGGGTGTATATATATATATATATATATGTATTTACACGAGCCATCCTAGATACTTGCAGACCACCCTATGATCTAACCCTAGGCTTTTACTTTGCTACAATCGTGTAATCTTCTCTCTTAAATATATATATATATATATATATATATATATATATATTTTTCTTATGTTCTTTTGATTACATCCTCATATTCATAGAAACATTAAAAAGACGATACTAACATATTTTATATAAAACACTTTCCTAGATATTATCCAATGAAAATACATTGACGTTTATTTTCATCAAATTTGTTTTATTAAAAATTTTACTACGAATCTTTTATTTTATTTTATTTTATTTTATTTTATTTTATTTTATTTTATTTTTATTCATATAAAAGTTTTCCTTTTTTTCTTTTCAATCACTCACTCTCCCCGGATAACTTAGTTCATATCTGACACAATCTATAGGCCCCGCTCCTCCTCCGCCTCCTCCTCCTCCTCCTCCTCCTCCTCCTCCTCCTCCTCCTCCTCCTTCTCCTCTGCTCCTTTATAGATCCTTTTGTCTTAAGCGTGCATTTTCTCATTAATAAACCTCTTTCTTCCCCCTCCCTTCTCCCACCGAATAATCCAACAGACTATGCACCTTATTATGGATCATCATTAAACGATGGATATGACAGAAGCGCAAGAATTTTCTTAACATGAGATTCGTCTTCCCGTAATTAAAACACCCACGCTGATTTGATTGCGTTGAAAGACATTCTTTCGATCGAACCAAGGCCAATGAGAAATTGCTATGATAAAGGTGACCTTGCAATGGATGATGTAATTAACAGACGAACGTTATGCCCGATTAATTGTGCTTGATTTTAAACGTATAAATGGAATGATTAGATATAATACTCTTGTAATTTAATTTTACGCATTTGTAACATGTATGTAATTATTTACACGAGTGAAGGTTTTACGATTGATGTCCTTCCGTTCCTTAAATCGAGAATTTTCGCTTTTTTAATCTAATATATCTATTCGAATTAATAATAATAAAATATATATATATATATATATATATATATATGTGTATGTGTGTACTTAAGTATAATCATAAACACATGATTTATCTACTAATTTATTACAAATGTGTGTGTATTACAAAAGAAATTTACATAAATTATACATTATACATTATACATTATACATTATACATTATACATTATACATTATACATATCTACAGGATAAATTAACATTAACAAGTCACATTCTACGTTTCTAATTTTCTAGAATATTCAACACGTTGAGCTGAATGGAGGAGATAAAACTTGGTGGTCGATAAAACAAAAAAGGAAAAAAGAAAAAAAGAAAAGAAAAGAAAAAAAGAAATGAAACTCGGCGATTTAATATTCTTTTTCTTCTTCTTTTTCTTCTTCTTCTTCCTTTTTTTTATTTTTTATTTCTTATTTTTTCTTTTTTTTCCTTTTTTTTTTTCTTCTCCCCGAAGAGAAAAACCAATGGAAACCAAAGGAAAATGGACCGTAAAAAGGAGGTTAAGAGTAAAAATCGAATCGTAAACGCTCACCGTGCTAATAAGATCGATGAAGGCCACTTGTAGAGGAACGATAAAAATCGTCCACCAACGTGGTATCCTATATCTTATATACAGAAAAGTAAAACGATGAAAAAAAAAAAAGAAAAAAAAAAAAAGTTAAAATCTAAAATGAAAAACGAACCTGGCTCACGAATCCCGACGTACGAGTTACTTTGGCAACGAAAATGACACGACGTCTAATCTCTATTAATATAACTATGTAACTGTCTATCTATGTATATATGTATGTATATATTTATATACATGTAAGTACTAACATAAAAAAGACATACTCGAAAAAAAAATAAAAAAAATAAAAAAAAAAAGAAAAAAAAGAAAATAATATATTATAATATATAATAATATATAATATTATATAATAATAGTAATAATAAACAATAATAATAATAATAATAATAATAATAATAATAATAATAATAATAATAATTAACGTTCTAACGATATTCTAACGTTTAGGATCGTTCTTTTCGTTGTTTCGGACAATATAAACACCATTTCACGTTTAAATATTCTCACTTAACTGGCAATACTATTTGCATTGCCTAACGGCATATATCGCTCGTGAAGATTCCATTCGAATTAGCATTATGACCCGTTGCAGTTAGAAACTCTGCGTGTTGGTGAACAAGAGTGGAAGAGGAAGAGGGAGAGAGAGAGAGAGAGAGAGAAAGAGAGAGAGAGAGATATAAGGAAGAACGTGATCGTATTCTTCAACGACCGTTATTTCTCCCCTCTTCCTCTTCCTCTTCCTCATAGGTTCGTCTAATCGTCGTGAAATACCGCAGAGACTTCTAATACAACATATGGCTCGTTCTCGTTGCACCTGTGAACAAGAAAATGAAATAAAATCAAATATATTAATCAGTCGTCTCTGTTCTATCTCTCTCTCTCTCTCTCTCTCTCTCTATTTTTATCTCTATCATTAAAATAAAATATCTAATTAAATTGTAATGTTTTGTTACCACTTGAAAAAAGGTTAAAAAAAAAAAAAATAGAAAAAAAGAAAAAAAGAAAAAAAAAATCGTCGTCGATCTACCGAGAAACATTAATAACATTGACACTTAACATTATTTTGTCGTTTTCTAATGAAAAAAAAAAAAAAAAATTTCTGCAAATATCATTAATTATCTAATATTTTCGTTTCTCTATCAATAAAAAAATCATTATTTGACTTTTAACGCGCGATTTTTCTTTTTTTTTTTTTTTACGAATGATAACGATAATACGAAACGTATAATTAAAGATGTAAATTTTGTCGCTCGCTCACTTAATTTACTCGAAGATGGGCCAAAATTACAATGGGCAATCAATTGGAAACTGAAGCCGCCAGTCAATGGCATAAGAGAACAATTGTAAATAAAGCCAATGAAAAAAAACACTTGCGCATTTCAGGGCCGATTTTATCGAATGTGTATCGAACGTTTTATAGGATATACATATATATATATATATATATATATATATATATATATATATATATATATGGAGTAGGGTGGGGATAATGAACGAATTTCAAATTGACATTAATCGAAATCAATTCCTGATTCGAGACTGAGAGACGATGCCGGCCCATCACTCTCCTCCCCGCCCAAACAGACACGCTCTTAAAATCGATATAAATCAATAATATGAGATTTGAGAGATATAGTTTTGGAAAAAAAAAAAAACAAAAAAAAAAATAAATAAATAAATGAAGATATAAACTTTATAATATAGACAATGATAATTCGATAATTCATATAGAATATAAATTTTAATCGAATATATTAAAGAATTTTGTCAATTTTTTAACTTACTGTGCAAACTCGAAGCGTTTGGTAAAGAACTAGCCAATGGTAATTCCATACCAGGATGCTCATGGATAACAGTTTCGGTGATATTGTTTTCAGCCTCGGAGTGTGCCCTTCTATGCTCGTGTCCACGTCCATCGGCATTTTTTCGTCTCTTCTCGGTAACGCAACAACGTTGATCCCTTTGCAATGTCATCTCGTGCGAATACATGGATTCGAGATTGGTAAAGGAATTGAAACGTTGTCGTCTTCTCGTTAACGCTTGATTAGCTCTTCTACCAACGACGCTTGATGTATCGTGACTACCGCGCGACAGGTCGTTACTTCTTTCACGGCGTTGCAATGATTTCAATGAATCCTCGTAACCACTGAAAAAACGAACGCGTTATAATAAGATACAATAGATAATAAGATATAAAATAAAAGTAAAAAAAAGAAAAAAAAAAAAAAAAAAAGGAAACTTTCCTCGGATATCTCCTTCGATGATAAATTTTTGCGATTTAAGTTTTCTTCTTTTTATTGTTATACATTTTTTTTCCTTCTTTTTTTTTTTTTTTTTTTTTTTTTTTTTTTTGACAAAGAAAATTTCGAATAACATTAACCTTAATATTGTGCCTGTGGAAAAGGGAATCATGAGAGAGAATGATAGAACAATCTCGTAACAAACTACTTTGTACTCGATTAATTTCAATTTAATTTAAGCACGATGAATTCATCGAATTTCTTTTTAATAATAACAAAAATTGAAAATGCATTATCATACTTAATGATTATTATTAGGAATGGCTTTGATAGAAGAGTATACGATATTTTTCTCTCTCTCTCTCTCTCTCTCTCTCTCTCTCTTTTTGAAATCAAAATTATTCTCCAATCTTTATAAATGAAAATTGTTCAAAGTGTTTGTAGATTGTAGTTACGTACAAATTGAAATTATTTTTCATCCATGGACATTATTAGAATGAAATGAAATAAAATTCCAACTTACTTGCTACTTTCACCGCTCGAAGGACTCGAGGAGTGACTGCAGTGACAGGAGGCTCGTGCTACGATTCCTGAATCCTGACCACTGGAATGCAAGGACGTTGCGGATGCCTCGAGTCCTTTCGTATTACCTGTCGTCCTCACCCCATGTTTCCCATTACTTCCG